TTACCTAGGGCTTGGAGGAGGGGAGTGGCGAATGACCAGTCGTAATTAGGGAACTTTTGAGGGCGAGGAAAATGTTCCCACATATGGCTGAAGGGCTTGGCTGCTGACTGCACAGCTGGTGGTTTGAGTGCACGCAGTGTATGTAGGTCGGGTACCTCAGCCACGGACCACGCTTTGGAGCTGAGCTCTCCTTTGGCTTGTGCGAGGTGGTCGTGAGTCAGGGTCACTCAAAGGCAATGGCTTTGGTTTGATGGCTGCATACTCTTATGAATAGTCTAACAGCTGCCAGCTGTACCCTTGTGCAAGGTGAACTGCATGGTTGTGAATTATATCCCAATTTTCAAAAGGTAAAATATCACCCCTGGGCCTAAAGACATAAAGATGATCCTGAAGATGAGCAATTGTATCCCACATCTCCTCAGGGCACATTCCCCAACTGTTTCAGAAGTGCTTTCATGCCCACAACTTCTGTACACCAGGCCCCGGGGACCCCCATGTGACTGAGCTGCGACCTCAAACCTAGCTCCCCTCCCCGTCTTCTCTCCACTGGTGGAAGGACCAGCCAGTTGTCCGACGCATCTTCTAGAGCAGCGGTTCTCAACCTGTGGGTCGCCTGATTCACGACAGTAGCAAAATTACAGTTAGGACGTAGCAACGAAAATAATTTTATGGTTGGGGTGGGGGTGGGGTCACCACACATGAGGAGCTGTATTAAAGGGTCACAGCTTTAGGAAGGTGGAGAACCACTGCTCCAGAGGTTGGGTTTTGATGGCTGTGTCCCTGAGATGGGCCACCTGCCCTGTTGGAACGGATGTGTTGGAATGGATGTGCCTCACCTGCTGTCAAAGCCATTTCCCCCCCTTCGATGAGAACCCAATCCTAATCCACTGTCATGGCCACCCCAGGGGACAGAGTAGAACTGCCCCATAGGGCTTCCAAGGCTGTCATCTGTATGGAAGCTGACTGCTGCGTCTATCACCCATGGGGCGGCTGGTGGTTTGAACCACTGACCTTTCCATTGGCAGCCAAGCACTTACCCACTGCATCCCCAGAGTTTCTTCTCCAAACAGCACAAGAGGTTTTTTTTTCCTTCATTTTATTGAGGTCTCATACAACTCATCACAATCCATACATCCATCGTGTCAAGCACATTTGTTGCCATCATCATTCTTAAACATTTTCTTTCTACTT